GGCCAGGCGTCTTGGGCAATAACCGTGGAATCAGCGCCTGAATCAAGAAGGCCTTTAAAAAGTTTACCATCTAATTTTAGCGGCAGGGTGGGTCGTTCTTTGGAGATAGCTTGGACCCAATAGAGATCAGAAGAGCCAGGGCAGGAAGCACTCGGTTAGGGGCATGGCTGGGGAAGATTGTTTAAGCGGGCAAGGGCAATGCCTGAGCTAAGCGCTGTCCCTTAGAGACACACACAGGGCCGGTAAGCGCGCTGGCTAAGATGTTAATCTCCCCGGTAAAGTCACTATCTACTATGGAGGGGTGGACTATGAGCCCTGCAAGAGTAGAGGAGGCTCGGCCCAGAATAAAAAAGAACATATTAGCCGGTGGGGGTCCAAATGAGCCAGTAGGCAAAATTTGAACACCATCCTCAGGTCTCAATATTGTGTCGGAGGAGGCACACAAGTCCACTCCTGCGCTCCCTGTGGTCGCTCAGAGGAGTCTAGGGGCTGGGGATCCTCTTGTCGGCTGTTCCCCGAGGCCGACTGAAATTGAATAGGACGAGGGGCCCAGGGCTGGCCCCTCAGGCCATTTCCCGCAAGGGATTTTCAAGGGCATCGGTCTTAGAACGGCACTCACTAGCCCAATGGTATCCCCTCTTGCAGCGAGGACAGAGGGAGGGGGGCCGAGTTGGCCTGCCTGGTGGTCCACTGAGGTTAGGGGCAGCAGAGGAGGCGGCTAAGGGACACTGTCTCACAAAGTGCCCTGGCTGACCGCATTTAAAGCAGTCCCTCTGTCCACGGTCCCTTGGATGGCGGCCCCAACCGCAAGCTGCACAGCCTGCGACACCTTATGGGCGAAGGGGTCAGCATCATTACACATCTAATCATGTCATTAAGGTCTTTATTTTTAAGTTTGCCCCTGAGGATGGCCCTGCAGGTGCTGTTGGCATTTTCATAGGCCAATTGTTTGAGGAGTTTGTTATAGCCATCCTCTTGTCTGAGGGTCCTCTCAGCAGATTCTAAAAGCCTACCTACAAATTCACTAAAGCCCTTTTGAGCTCCCTGGGTGATTTTTGTCAGGGGAGTGAGAACAGATCCCGTAGAGGGAAGTGCTCGCCAGGCGCCGAAGGCGGCTGCGGCGGTCTGAGACAAAAGCCCAATTGGGAGTCCCCTTTGGCGCTGTTTAGTGGCAAACTTCCCTTGTCCGCTAAGTTTTTTAAGGGTCCAAGATGCAGAATTGGGGTTTTTTAAATTATTAGTAGCCGTAGTCTGACAGCGGTCGAGAAAGTCGGCATTCCAAGAGAGGAACTACCCGCTAGAAAGGACCACCTGTACTAGCTTGACCCATTCTCCCGGGAGCAGGTAGCCGCCTCCTGAGGCTGCCTCTAGGAGGGAGTAGGTAAAGGGTGCATTGGGCCCATACGTCCTAACAGCAGAATTTAATTCTTTTAAAGTCTTAAGTTTTAGTCTGCGGAACTCAGTGGGCTCTGCAGTGGGCCCCGGGACTGCCTCCTCTGGGGGGTCATCACCTTCACTTTCCCTTTCTCTCTCTTTTGTATCCTCATTATCTGAATCTTGGGGCGGGGACTGGCTCGAAGAAGGGGCGGCAAGGTCTCCTTGCCTATTAGACCTGGTAACTACCGGGAATGCTAGGGCTTTATGGGAGGACTTTAAGGATTTTTTATTTAAGGTGGCGTATGACTGGGCGGTCTCATGACGTGGGTGGCTAATGAAAACCGAATCTTTAAGCGTATCTTGGAGGGAGGACAAGTCTTTGGAAAGCTGGGCAAACTCTTTTTGAAGTTGTAAGACATCCTTTAATTGCGTAACCCTTTGACTTAAGTCTTCTTTGGCACACAAAAGCAAGGGCATTGTAAGGGGAGGCATTAACGAAGGTGCGCAAATTTGGGGCGCGTAAGGAGGAGCCCATTCGGGATTGTGATATCGGGCCGCTTCCTCTTCGAGGGTTGCCTCGTCTGCGGGGTCGAGGGACTCTTGGAGGGGTTGTTTCTTGAATACCGGGTAATTGAATGCATGAGGGGCTGTACCCTCGGGTAAGGGAGGATAGAGGGTCTTGGTGTCTGGCCTACTAATCGGGGGCTCGTCCCTAGATGTCTGGAGCTCAACCGAGGGGTCCTGAGGGGGCATATTAATACAAACTGAGGGGCAAGGGGAAGGGCATGTTGGTCCCTCAGGATTATTAGGGGAAGTTGACCCTTTGGCCGCCTCTAACGACGTTCTCGAAGCGGACCGTGACACGGGTCAGAGGCAAAATTCCGCTACGGAGAGTAGCTGCTTCTTATTGGGGTCTGAATCTGCCCCTTCAACAATATCTCTGATTAGTCCCCAGTATGAGAAAACATATACAGGGACAGCATCTGGGCCTTGATTCAGAAGTAAATTGTTTAACTCTCTGCCTACCTTCTGCCATTTGCGTGGGTGAATCTCAGGTCCACTAACAATAAAGCAAGGACAAGCACGATCAATGGACACAAAAAACTTTACTAGATCCTTTTTCTTAACTCTAATTCCTCTCTTAACTCTCTTAACTCTAATTCTCTCTCTGAGTGAGGCCTTGAGATCCTTAATAAAAACGGCCTCTTTAGACAATGAATGGCCCATCTCGATGGGATGACAATGTAAAAATTTACTCACCAGACCGTCGACTCTGTGAGCGGCAGAACGAGGGTCTCTGTAGGGTTTCCTTCAGCTGAAGAGCGCACCTCGGTGTCACTCGACAAAGGTCCGTACCTCGGGCCCCACGTTGGGTGCCACTTGTCCCGGCCCGCGGGACCTTTTGTTACTCTCGGGGGTCAAGGGGGACCTTGCCTGAAAGAGATGGGCGAGACCAAGCAAATGGTTGTCAAGGTCTGCTTTACTTAGATTCTTAGTAGGTTTTATAAGCATACAGAAACAAGGAAGTAGAAACAAAAAAAATAGAGTGGGGCGACGATGAGGCTTGGGTCTGGGTTAATCAGGCCCAATCAGCGTCTTATCGGTATCCTGTTTGTGACTGCTTACTCAACTCCAACCTGGCAGGTGGTCGGGAACAATTGCAGTCAGCACTCCCTGGAGCATCCCGTGGTCAGCACGTCATGGAATGCATTCTTCTCGGAGCTATAGCTGGAATTTTCCAGGGCGAAGTCCGTGCGTAGGACGAGTCATAAGGGAGTTGAGGGTCTTTGAGGGTCCTTGCCTCTAACAAACAGGCGCAAGGATAGGGTGAATTTTGGAGTGGCCTGTGGGGAGAAGGAGGGACTTTTCTGCCCTGTCCTTTCCTGTCTCTGTCAACCACTGGTCAGCACTTGTCCCACAGGAGTTATTCTTCCTTACTTCCTGGTAGCATATCCAGCCCTTTCCGTGGCCACCTGGGATGCCAGATCCCACAGCCTGTGGTGTGGTGTTTCATCAGGGTGAAAGGAGATCTGGAAACCAGGGGCTGTGGTTGGTCAGCCGCTGCATGGAGCAGGGTAGAAGACTGGCTGGCCCCCAGTGGCAGAATGACAGGATGTGAATGGAGCCCTTGGAAAGAAGAATGCAGTCTAAAGATTTCGAGGAAATGCTGAAAATGTGGGTCCTATACAGCAATTTTGAGTGAAGAAACCTTGGAAGCCACCTAAATCTCTTCCAAGCTATTTCTGGTGTAGGCATTCCAACATGAATAATCATGAACAGAAAAAATAAGCACTATCCATACAGAGTTACTATAAGTATAAAACAGAAAATTAGAATTAAAACTTTTTGGTAGAAAAAACTTTAGTGAAACACAGGGAAATTAACACACCCCTCCAACATGAATTAAATCTATAGTGCAACAAGCAGCAACACCAAGAATCAGAAATGCAAAAGTTCAGACCAGAAATTGGCAAACAATGTGAAGATATAAAATGGGAGCTAAATTCAAAAAAGAAATTGAAATAAAAAAGAAATTGAAAAAAATCCTCAAAAAAGAAGATGAGGGCACCAGAGGGACAGTATGTACCCCCAGACTTACAGTGGCCAACAGGCAAGATGCGGAAGAGTCAAAGGGAAATGAAGAGGCGGAAAGGATGGGAAGAAAGTGATGGGTAGATGACACCCCACATGTGAAATTGGGATCCCAGAGGAAGAAAATGCAAGCAGTAAAATAGAACCAATATTTTTTAAAAATTCCAGATAACTCTCTTAAATAAATAAAAGAAGACCTGAGTCTACATATTGGGAGGACACCTGGGAAAACTGGCCTAGAGCAGTGAACTCTGAGACATATCCTAGTAGAACTGTTTCACTTTCAAGATAAATATTCTGGGAATTCAGGCAAAAAAGACCAAGTTTCTTACAAAGGAGGAAAGTAAAAGACAGCAGCAGCCTTTTTAATAGCAAAATAACAATAAGTCAGTATCTTCAACAAACTCACAGTGAAAACTGCCCTCGGATGGCCAAGGGTGGGGTGGGGCAGCGCCTCGGATTTCATTCTGGGAGTGATGGGACCGCTGGAGGCTCTGCCCGGACGAGAATGGTGTGCCCAACTCGAAGGGTCTTTCTGAGGCCGGACTCCGGCAGCAGTGGTGGAAGCAGGGTGGTCAGCCAGGAGGAGGTCACAGAGCCCACAAGGTCAGGGCTCCTTCCAGGCCAGAGAGCGGATGGAGTCACGTGCACATACGTCTTGGAGTTGGGATGGCCAGGACTTCCGGAGGGATGGATGTGCGGGTGAGGGAATGGAGGAAGCAAGGGCCACCCCAGGTGCTTGCCTGGCACAACTGCAGGCATGCGGGTGCTGTCACTAGAGGGGGCCAGATAGAACAGGAGCAGGTTGAGGGGTGAAGTCAGACATTCTTCACTTTCCCGTGTCCAAGCTTGGGACCAAGAAAGTTCCAGTGTTTGCCAGCTCCATCTGGTTTGCTCTTTAAGGCCAGATTGTGTGTGCTTCTCAAAGTTTGTAAGCAGCTTTATGCTCCGGCTTGTCTTTGGTGACTCCAATCAGACCCTGACCCAGGTCTGGTCACCTCCCTCTTACTCCATCTTCCTTGTCTTGGCAGCTGTAAAGGACCTGGCCGGGACGTGGATGTGACCAGGGTGCACTCTGACCCCCAAGGGAGGCAGCAGCGGCCCGACCGGGGAGCCCGAGGAGGCCAGGTGTTTTACAACAGCGAGTACGGGGCGCTGTCGCAGCCATGCAAGGACAACTGCGCCCCATCTGCCCACGCGACCTTCTTCACGGACAACAGCTACTAAGGCAGCGCAGGACCAAGGCCCTGCTCTCTGCTGACCCTGGGCTCCAACAACTGGGGGCAGTACCTGGCCAGGCCAGCAGAGGGCTGGAGGCCCAGATCGGGCACTCATCTCATTTAGCTCTGGCCAAAGAGAAGCGCCCTCTTCCCTGTCCGCAGCCCCCCTCCCCGGCTGGGAGAGCAGGACCCCAGGCTTCGGGCACCATGCCTGCCCAGGGCCACCCTGCAATGCCCTGGCCCCGCTCTCCCTCAGACTCAGCTGTCATTGAGCTCAGTGTCCACAGGGACGGCCCCAAGCTGGGCACGTCCATGAATAATATCCCCTTGATGGCCTCCTTTCTGCACAGTGGGTGGGCGGTATGACACCCATTTTCTGATAAGGAATATGTGGGTCTGAGAGTCACACAGGGGTCCAGGTAAAGCCAGACTTGAGCCAGCTCTCACAGCCCCTGCCCGCAGCGCTGCCCCACCCACAGGCATGTGCCGCTGCCCTTCCTGCACAGCTTTCCTCCCCCCGCCAGGGAGGTGTGTGTTTCCTTCCCAAAGCAACAGTGAGGTGTCGGGTCCCCTCCTGAGCCCGACCAAACAGCTGACTGTCCCGTGCGGTGGCCATCTGTACCTGAGGGACCAGGTCCAGAGTGAATCAGCACCCCGACCCTGAATGAGAAAGACCATCCGATGGGGCTTTTTCACTAGAACTAAAGAGATTATTTCAGCTGCTGTGAAGAATTTCCTTTTCAAAATTCAGTCTGAAGGGAGCCCGGGAGCAGCGATTCTCAGCCCCAAGTGGGGCTGTCAGAGCAGATGCTCTCTCTGGAGAAGGCCCCCAGTCTCCCCACCTGGTCCACAGTGTGGAGAACCAGCTGATGGTCTAGAGCCACCTCGTGTGGCTCTAACCTCCCTCAGGACTGGCCCTGCCCCTGAGGTGCCTCCCAGACATGGGAGCCCTCACAGGAAACCGGCGCTGTGAGCCGCACGGAGGAAGGCCTTGGAGCTGGCACTGCATGGTGACACTCAGCAGCCAGTGGGTGTTCTTGTGGCCCTGGGGGCCCTGACTTGGACACCCTAGCAGATCAAGCCTGCCCCCTCACAGGGGGGCACCAGAGATCCCCTGGAGGCTGGGACCATCCCGCCCAGGCCTCCCATCCCGCCCAGGCCTCCCATCCCGGCTCACACCGCCCAGCACCCCTACCAGGAGAGACCCTCCAGCGAGTTCCTACCCAAAGACCGACCCGCCCTCCCGCAGACGCTTGCAGGACAGGCGGCTGCGCACGCGCATGGGCTTGCTCGGCAGACCCTCCGATTGCAGCTGCGTGCGTGGCTGTAATTGCGTCCCGTGCCCCTCCCCTCCCTCTGCACGTCACCTGGCTGTGGGACCCGCCTCTGGCCTCTCCCGGGGAGCCCTGGCTGCTGCCCACAGAGGACCGGAGCCCGGGCTTACCACCTGTCTGTGCCACGTCCCCTCCTGTCGCATAACTGCATGCCCACACATGTACCTGGGAAGAAAATCTACTATGCCTTTGTAGACGATGTTCTCTGAAAAGACGGAATATATTTAATGAGAGATAATAATAAACTTGATGCCAGTCTTGAAGTCCCAGCCCTCTGTGAAGTTTCGATTTGTCAAGGGAAAAAAGCCAAACTCTGCAAAATAATTTTAAGGGGATTTTTTTCTGAGCCATATTTGAGGACCATGACCCGGATCCACTGGCAAGAGGCCTTGGGCAAGTGGACTCGCTGTGGCTGGGTTACAGTTCAGTTTTATACATTTCAGAGAGATGGGTTCCATTTGTTGCATAAATTGAGGACCTGCAGGTTTGTCTTGCATACCCTTAGGCCTGTTAATGGGTTACAAAGGAAGTCTCCAAGAAGGGAGGGGGGCATGATAAGGCATGTCTGACCTCCCTCCTCCTGGCAGGCAACTTTGCCCTAGGATATTCCTTTGGCCACGAGGGGGTCCATTCAGTCAGCCGGTGGGGGGTGAGCATTTTAGTTCACAGATTTTAACCGTCCTCCGTGCCAGCCATCAGCCCAGTGCCCTGGACAGGCGATGGGAAGGAGGCCTGGCCGCGGTCGCCCAGGGCGGCAGTGGTGCGGGCGGCCTGCAGGGGAGGCAGGTGCCCGCGGCCACCCCGCTTCCACCGGGAGGGCCGTGCGGGAGGGCGCGCCGGCCACCTCGCTGGCCGGGCGCCTGCCTGAACCCCGAGGTCAGGGGCGTCGGGCCGCGCAGCTGGAGCCAGCAGGCGAGGGCCGGGCAGGGCTGGCGGCCCGGCCGCGGGACCCGCGCCCAGAAAGCCGAGCGGGCCCGCCTGGGCGGGCGAGGAGGCCGCCGCCTGGCGTGGGCTGCGGCTCCCGGGCGTCCCCGGCGCGGCCGGGCAGCGACGCCTCCCGCCCCTTGCGGGCAGCAATCCGTGGGAAGAGCTCCTCCCCACAAAGGCAACTGTTGCTGGTGGGTTGTTTTCTGTTTTTATTATTTTTTGGTCTTTACTGTTGTTTTTGCTTTTATAATAAATCTAAATGGGAACACAGAAAAGACTCCACATTAGGTTTAGACATTTTAGCTTTCCAATGTGATTGATTGACTGTAGCCACTGACCCCAGGTGTCAGCCAACAGGGTGTCCCCACACACCGTGAACTAAAATAAAAATTTAAGGCTCCCGCCCCCACCCGCTGACTGAATGGACGCCCCCTCGTGGCCAAGGGAATATCCTAAAACTAAATTGCCTGCCGGAAGGAATGAGGACGGACACCCTTATCATGCCCCCCTCCCTTCTTGGGAACATCCTTTGTCCCCAAGGTTTATTAACAGGCCTAAAGGTATGCAAGACAGACCTGCAGGTCCTCACTCTACATAACAAATCTATGTCCCTGGCTTATCTCTGATAACAGCTCCTTATGTGGAAACATTCCAAGCCTTTAAACAAAGCTTCATGTCTTTAACCAATTATAAGCCAAAGAATCTTTAAACCCACCCATAACTTGTAAGCCCCCTCTAGATGTCCCAGATGTTCTGGGCCAATGAGTGCCTCCCACGTATTGATTTATGACTTTACCTGTAACCCCTGTCTCCCTGAAATATAAAAACCGAACTGTGACCCAGCCAGAACTAGTCCACTTGCTCAAGGCCTCTTGGCAGTGGCTCCGGGTCATGGTCCTCAAATTTGGCTCAGAATAAATCTCTTTAAAAGTATTTTACAGAGTTTGGCTTTCCCCGTTGACAACACCCAAGACTGCGCTGGTCACCAAGCCCGAAACATGTGGTGGGAACTAGCACCTCCATGCTGGTTTCCAGCGTGGGGGCAGGAGCGGGTTCTGCACTCACACTTCTGGGCTGCTCTGGTCCTGCCTGGGCCAGACTTTCAGGGCTGGGCTCAAGTGTCCCCAGGTCCCAGGTCCACCCTGCCCCACAGAGCGTGTGGCACTCCAGGCTGTGTGGATGGGAACTTGGCCAGCGAGGGGCAGGGGAGTCACACCAGGCAGCAGTGTGCTCCCACTTTGGGGATCCCTTGGCCCTCTGTCTCTGAAGAACCCTCTCCTCTCCTCTCAGGCGCCAGCCCCTCCCCAGGTGCTCACCACCCCCTGGTCCCTGGGCCTCCAGCCCACCCCTCACGCCTAGTCGCTTCTGACACAGAGCCCTTAGTCACGTACTTTGGGAGAGGCATGGGGCCAAGGGCAAGCTGGAGTGCTCCTCGGCAACACTGGTTTTGTTCCGATGTCACTGCTGCCCTTGGCATGGGGCACTGGTTGGGCAGAGGGTTTGTGCTCTGGGAGCAGAGCTCCTGGTGTCGCAGGCTGGGGGACAGCGCACAGGCCAGAGCCCCTGCTGTGAGAAGTGATCTGTGAGTGGGGACAGCAGAGGAATCCAGAGGAGTGGTGGGCAAGAGGGGTGTGGGGGTGCTGTAGGGCCTGGGGGCCCAGAGTCGGGAGTCTGTCTTAAGGCTCCAGGGGAGTTCTGAGAGGGGCAGCTCTGGCTGTGGTCTATGCTCCGAGAAGGAATCTTGAAGGAGGCCAGTGAGGAGACTGGTGGCGCCTGGCGCAGGGCCCCTGGGCTGCACCGACGGCCCTGAGGAGGCGAGGACAACTCTGAAAGACCCGGAGGGAGAAGCTCTGCTATTAGCTGTTATGAGCAGTTATCTGGTGCCTGGACCCAGTGCAGAATCCTACAGATACACAGGCCAGATATGTGGAAAGAATCCTTTTCCTATTAAATAAATGATCTCCTCCAACAGCAGGCCCTGGGACTGCCCCACCCTCCTCTCCAGAGGCCCTTGGCATCCTCAGCTAAGGACGGGGTTCAGCCAAAGTACCAGTCAGGCTGGACGGACAGGGCGAGGCAGGATGGGGACAGAGAGCCTGACCCCCCGCTGGGGCCTAGTGGCTTCCTGAGGCCTGGGAAGGCACCAGGGGCCAGAGGGGAGCAGGAGCCCCCAAGAGAGAAGGGAGCACACATGACAGGGGTGAGACTGCTCCTGTCCTAGGGGATCAGAGGGATCCGAGAGGCACTGGGCAGGCCTGGAGGCATGGGCACCCTCTGACCTACAGGGCTCCTGCCCTTAAAGCTCACACTTGTGCTGGAGGAGGGAGCCCAAAAAGCAGCTTCCAGCACAACGCGGGCTCCTCCCTCACACGCCCACACCAGCCACTCTTAAAACTGAGTGCTCAGCCCGGATAATCGGCCGCAGTGAACAGAGTGCTGGCCGCAGTGAACAGAGTGCTGGCCTGTGCCCAGGTCACTGGGACTGCCCCCCCGAGATCTCTGTGTGCAGATGCAGGAGGGGCGGATGGCAGTATCACTGACAGCGGGCCGCCTCCAGGCGATCGAGTGAGGCCTGGGTCTCCTCAGCTACTGGGCAGAGAGCCTGGGCCAGGCTGGGCTCGGGGGGGGCCGCTTGGGGTTACCAGTGGGGGTGAGGGATCTGGTGTGACACCCTGAGGCTGGTGATCCTGGGCTCAGCACCTCCCCTCAGGGCCTCAGTTTCTTGCCTGCACTCGCCACCCTGCAGGGCTCTGGTGGTGACAGTCACAATGGCCCCAGTGGTGTTGGGAGTGGCCTAGCTGAGGAAGCCCCTGCCCCAACCAAGTGATGTGGGCAGTGGCGTCTGCCCCCACTGACTCGGCTGCCCACCCATCTACCAACCAACCAAGGCCGCCAGCAGCCCCCCAACGACCCATGTGCAACAGACTGGCATGCCCCCCAAAACTCATAGTTGAAACCCTGCTCCCGACGTGATGGTGTCAGGAGGCGGGCTTTGGGGAGGGGATTAGGGCATGAGTGTGGAGCCCTCATGGATGGGATTCGTGCCCTTATAAGAGGCCAGAGAGCTCCCTCGCCCTCTTTCGACCATGTGAGAATACAAGAAGTCAGCTTTTGGCAAACCAGGAAGTGGGCCCTCACCAGACACCCCATCTGCTGGCACCTTGATCTTGGACTTCTCAGGCTCCAGAACAGTGAGAAATAAATGTGTACTGTTTAAGCCACCTACTCTATGGTAATTTGTTACAGCAACCCAAACGAAGACACCATCCTCTGTCCCTCCATCTGCAGGGTGGACAGAGGCGTTCTCAGATGTGGGCCCTTGGCAGGAAGGGAAGGAAGCCTGCTTTTAGAAAGGTTAGGGTCAAATAAGGAATGCATCCCTCATATGCGACCGACTGGGAGGTGTCTGGAGTCAACAAGCACCCCATGGTTCTGCTTTTGATTAATTTAGGAGTGACTGGCTGCAGCCTCCACTGCAAGGACAGTGGGTTGCTTTTCCATCCTGGACTGAGTGGAGCACACCACATTCCCTTCAGAGACGCACGGGCAGAGATCAGACACCTAAACTTTCTGGCTAGAGCCAGGGTGGCAAGATGGGGGCAAGGAGCGTATCTGAAAGGGGAACTGCCTCTGGGCTTGGGGAGAAGCTCAGCGAGACTGTGCAGAGAATTGGGGGTCTGGAACATGTCCCGGGCAGCATCCTCGACAGCCTGGCTGCCCTCTGTGGGACAAGGGGTCCAGTTAGCCAGGTAGGTACAGCTCCCGGGCACCTGTCCTTGGCTGCTCTGAGGTGCTGCCTGGAGCTTCATCAGAGCTGGTGGATGAAGCATGGCCCTGTCCTGGAAGGAGGCAGCTCCCCCTTCCCCAAAAGGAGAGGACATGGACTCCTTGGGCCAACCAGGTAACTGGAAGTCATGCATTCAATCCCCCCAGGGAGAGATGGGAGTAACAGGAATTGCCATTAAACTCTTGGGTTCTAAGCTGTTGAGACTTCTTAGAAGGCTCTTGCTTTGGGATGTCAGCAAGTGCATCTCTGATGTGGTGGGATGTCAGTCTGGATTCCGGGCAGGGACCTCCAGGGGTCTGACCTACCAACTCACACCCTTGCCTGGTAGGCAGCTGCTCCCAGCCTTAGTGCATGGAGGCAGCAAGGGCCCTGGTCAACGGGGGAACTTCCAGTCCCATGGCAACACTAGGCTGAGGCAGAGCATGGCCCGGGCACTGTGCAGACCCACCCTAACTGTCCAGGGGACCTTGGGCAGGTCACTGATGTTCTCTGAGCTGTGTTTCTTCTGAATCATCAGGGTGATAATACCCACCCCACTCTCAATACCATTCCATT